ACATCATAACCATCAAAAGTTCATAGTTTACTTGAGGGTCCACCCTTGCTGTTGTACATCCTGCGGGTTTGGACAGAAGCACAATGATATAGCTATCATTATGATATCATACGGATTATTTTCCCTGCCTTAAGGGTCCTCTGTGCTCTGTCTATTCATTGCTCTCCCACCACCCCTGGCAACCACTGATCTTTTCATTGTCTTTTATATGTTCGCCTTTTCCGGAATGTCATATAGTTGGACTTGCACAGTATGTGGCCTTTTCGGATTGGCTTCTTTCTCTTAGTGATATGCATTTATGTTTTCTCCATGATATGCATTTATGTCTTTTCATGGCTCGATTGCTCATTTAGTTTGAGCACTGAATAATATTTCATTGTCTGGATGGACCACAGTTAGTTTATCCATTCACCTACTGAAAGGCATGTGGGTTGCTTCCAAGTTTTGACAACTATGAATAAAGCTGCTGTAACTATGTGCACGCAGGTTTCTGCAGAGAGAGTGTTTTTAACTCTTTTGGATAAATGCCAAAGAGTGAGATGACTGGACCACATGGTAAGAATATGTTTAGTTTTTAAGAAATTTCCAAACTGTCTTCCAAAGTGGCTGCACCACTTTGCATTCCCACCGGCCGTGAATGAGATTCCTGTTGCTCCACATCCTCGCCAGCATTCGGTGGTGTCACCGGTGTTCTGGATTTTGGCCATTCTGATAGGTGTGCAGTGGTGTCTCGTCGTTTTGGTTTGCCTTTTTCTGATGACATAGGATATGGAGCATCTTTTCGTATGCCTGTTTGCTAGCTGTATAACTTTTTTGGTTGAATATCTGTTATAGTCTTTGGCCCATTTTTAAATTGGGTTGTTCGTTTTCTTATTGTTAAGTTTTAAGAGTTCTTGGTATATTTTGGATAACAGTCCTTTATCAGATGTTTTTTTGCAAGTATTTTCTCTCAGTCTGTGGCTTGTTTTCTAGTTCTCTTGATATTGTCTTTAGCAGAGCATTAGTTTTTAATTTTAATGAAGTCCAGCTTATAAATTATATCATTTATATAAATCTTGTCTTGGTGTGTCTAAAAAAGGGGTCACCATACCCAAGGTCATTTAGGTTTTCTCCTGTATAGTTAGTTTGGCATTTTATATTTAGATCAGTGATCTATTCTGAGTTAATGTCAGTAAAGGACATAAGATCGGTGTCTGGATTTATTTTTTTTGCACGTGGATGTCCAGCTGCTCGAGCACAGTTTGCTGGAGAGATTGTCTTTGCTTCATTGTGTTGCTTTTGCCCCTGGTCAGCGGTCAGTTGACTGTGTTTGTGGGGGTCTATTTCCGGGCTTTCTATTCTAGTCCATTGATCTATTTGTCTGTTCTTTCACCAATACCACACTATATTGATTACTGTGGCTTTAGAGTAAATCTTAAAATCACATTTACATCTTTTAGGTTATAAAAAGTCGGGTCACCAGCAAAGCAGCCACATGCTCTTTAATAGTCAGAGGGAGAAGGAGACACTTGGCAGCCTGCATCTGCTTTGCCTTTTAGTCTTTATAGTGGTGGCGCTGGGTCAGACTGGCTCACCAGGGCCAGTGATGCGCGTCTCTTCCAAACCCCGTGTTCAGTGCCATCATATTGGTAACTCAAAATTGGCCATTGGGGGAATACTTATACCACAGAAATTGGCAAATGCTACAAATGAGGACTCGTTTGCCTGTTTTTCCCCCTCAGTAGTTAAACATTTACCAGCATAACGCTGTTTTATATCTAATTTGTTTTTCTTTTTGATATCTCGTTATCAAATGCCTTCTCAGCATCATAGTTCGTGTTTGCTGATCATTTTTGTAGCTAGGCACTGTGCTCACATCTTTCCCACGTGTTCCTTAATTCTCACAGCAACCTCACGAGGTAGGTTTGTGATCTCAGCTTATGGCTGACGGATGCTGAAGAGCAGACTAGTGACAGATTTCATTTTACAGGTACAATTTTCAAATGAGTAGACTGAGGCTCAGCAAGATGATATAATTTTTCCAAGGTCACATAGCATGTAAGTGGTAGACTAGGGACTGAAACTCTTGCCTGACTAGCGTTTGTCACCACCATGCACCATGATCTTTCCCACCATAGAAAACTTTTCTGGGCTCCAAGTCATGACGCCGGGGTTCCCTGTGCACCCAGCCTGACACCAGAACTCTCAGAGCCACGGTATCTTTATCTATATAAAGAGGTTGGTAATGATAATCTTGCCTCACTCACAAGATAGCTTTGCTGGTTAAATGATAGTTTCTATAAGATTGCTTTGGAAAGCTCAGGTATGATATAAATGGGAGATATTGTTACATGCTAAAAAGTGAAGGAAAAAATATTTATAAAAAGAGCACCATATCCCAGTGTAGAAGATTCAGTGAAGTAGGTATTTTCTATAAACTCAGGTCCTAAGGAATCTTACAGTGAATGTTTCTGGATGAACTGGAAAAACCTTTAATCTGGGATTGTCTAAACTTTTCTCTTGGAATTATTTGGTTTGAGGGCTTCGTAACTTTCCCAGACAGTCTAATCAAGGTGGCCCTAGTTTCACAGGTAGATTTGGATGGTAAGTGTGTTCTAGGAATCAAATTATTAAGAGAATGGATCAGCATTGGAAAGTTGACATTTAGTAACCATAGGGAGAATTTCTGCTACATTATGTCCGTGTTTTAATAAAGAGATTCTTCTTTCACTCTCATAAGCTACTTATACTTTCAACAGTCAGTGTATTTCATTATATTTATTTATTAAGCTTTATCTTCTGCACTGTACCGAACTCTCCACGATGTCAAACAAGCATTGGATCACTATGGAAATCGCCAGCCCCAATGACTGAGGTTGGCAGCGGAGAATTTCTGCTACATCATGTCCATGTTTTAATAAAGAGGTTCTTCTTTCACTCATAAGCTACTTATACTTTCAACAGCAGTGTATTTCATTATATTTATTTATTAAGCTTTCTCTTCTGCACTGTACTGAACTCTCCACGATGTCAAACGAGCATTGGATCACTATGGAAATCGCCAGCCCCAATGACTGAGGTTGGCAGCTTGCATCGCATGTCTTCATAAATATGTACCGCACAAGTGCATGGTTCCTTTTTTGGTATTCATGTATTTCTTGGGCCACACTTGTCCATCTGCAAGCTTTGGAAACTTTCTTATGTGTCTTAATCGCAGTTAGATCTAGTGTGCAGGCAAGGCCGATAACCTCGGCATGTTTCCTGCTACAGCTACTCTGCATGCTCTCAGGATATCAGAGGCATTTGACAGCAATACAAAAACCTCTACATATTTCATAACTTATATAGCCCAAGCCCCTTACTGTGTTATATAAGACATACCTTGACCTCTTTCACCCCAGGTACCTTCATTCCTGCCGTCCTCACTGTGCGATGATCTTCTGTAATTCTTTTGCCTGGCCAGCTCTTCCCTACTCTTCAAGGGTAGATTTGGGTCTCATCCCTTCAGGAAATCCTCTCTGATCTGTGGGTTGAGATTTGGCTCTGTTTTCACTCACCTCTGTATCCCTTGATCTGAGTTCTGATTTTATTCCGAAGTCATCTCCTATGTTTCTCGCTTCCCCAAGAGACTTCCCAAGGGCAGAAACTGCCTTTTTTCCCCAAAGCTGGTGGATTGTTGGTGTCTGTCTTGAATGGGGTGTTCAGTAAACGTTTGATGGACTGAGATGGCTAATTCCAAGTGGAATGCTTTTTTTCCGGGAGGAGCATAACAGTGAGATGAAATGTGAACTTTTTATGCTTTAGTAGAGTGACAGCCCTCCAAGTAACCAAGCATGATACTCTTGCCACCACCTAGGGGTGGAGCTTGGAGCTCCCAGATTGTAGATTCAAGGTTGGGGCTAAACCTGTGTTTGTCTGAATACAGACTGCAATTCCAGCCTCACTGCAGTCTGGTTTATTCACTCTTAAGGGAGAATAGAATCCAATAATTCTCCATTCACACCCTCCAGAGTAGAGGAATGCAGCTATGTATTCGAAGAGATTCCTGGGAGGAGATGGTGGGTTCATGACCAAAGATGGAAACGTTGAAGGCTTCCAAACTGCCTTCAGCGTTCCTCATGTTACATATGACCTGACTACTCCTTCCTCCTGCCAGCTTATTGATGATCTAATTATCTACAGGTGTTCCTCCTTTTGTTTATCCAGCGGGACTTGACAGTCTCATGTGTGCGATGAGCAAGGTGGTAGGGTAGAGAGTGGTGAGGATCTTCACCCACCTGGCCAGGTTCCATCTGCTCCGTCCTGGGGCAGGCATCATTGGCTATAGGACAGTCTTTCTTCTAACTGACTGGACTAAGTTTTCAGGCTAAGGCCATGGGGCAATGCCATTTTGCCTACTCTGGGGAGCAACAGGTCTTTGTGGATGGGGTGTCCTTGACCTTAGAGAGACACTAGAGGGAATAGCGGGCTGGGAATGATGTCTGGGATGTACAGTCTTCTCCGATGGGACTCCCTGATTCATCAGCTCCTTGTTTTCCCCATGAAAATCACCATTTCGGTATTCATTAGGGAAAATGACCTTTTGAGGGCGTAAGAGAGTACCGTCTTTTGTAAAAACTATGACTACCCTCATGGCTTTGAGGAAAAGAAAAGGGACTAGGATCAGAGAGACAAGGCATGGACCGAAAGTCAGCAGGAGGAACATCTGTGACAAAGCGCGAGAGGATGGTTGTCACTTACATTAGACATCCCCTTTACGACTTCCGGTATGGTTATTTGAGAGTAACGAAATGAGCTAAATTGGATGAAATTTCAAATCAGATTCCATTTAGGGATAGATGTTGCTGGAGGGCCTGATGTGGGGGTACTGAACAGGCACCTTAGGGTGGGGGGAATCTGTGTGACTTAATTTTTTCCCGTTAAAAACCTACATTCTTGCTATTCACACGGGTTTTCTTCTCCCTCTCTCCATCCCCCTTTGTATCTGGCATTTCTCCCCTCGATCCTCCCTTCTTTCCCAGGTGTGTTTGATAACTGCTCCCACACTGTCAGTGACAAGGGCTGGGCCCTGGGCATCCGCTCGGGGAAGGACACGGGCAGGCGGGATGCTCGCTTCTTCTTCTCCCTTCGCACCGACCGTGTGAAGAAAGCCACCGTCGTGACTGGCCACGGGCGCTACCAGCCAGGCACGTGGACGCACGTGGCGGCCACTTACGATGGACGGCGTATGGCCCTGTATGTGGATGGCACTCAGGTGGCCAGTAGTCCAGAGCAGTCCGGCCCCCTGCACAGCCCCTTCATGTCGTCTTGCCGCTCTGTGCTCCTGGGGGGGGATAGCTCTGAGCACGGGCACCATTTCCGCGGACACCTGGGCACACTGGTCTTCTGGTCAACGGCCCTCTCACAAAGCCACCTCCAGCACAGTCCTCAGCATCCGAGTGGGGTGGAGGAGCTGACCACTCTGGTCCTGACGGCCAGTTTCGAGCCCCTGGAAGAACAGTGGGCCCCCTTTAGAGAGGAGAAGTACCCACGACTTGAGGTTCTCCAGGGCTTTGAGCTGGAGCCTGAGATCCTGTCACCTTTGCAGCCCCCACTCTGTGGGCGGACGGCTTGTGACAACGTAGAACTCATCTCCCAGTACAACGGGCACTGGCCCCTTCGCGGGGAGAAGGTGATACGCTACCAGGTGGTGAATATCTGTGACGACGAGGGCCTGAACCCCACGGTGAGTGAGCAGCAGATCCGCCGGCAGCACGAGGCTCTGAACGAGGCCTTCGGCCGCTACAACATCACCTGGCAGCTGAGCGTCCAGCGGGTCCACAACTCCACGCTGCGCCTCCGGGTCGTGCTTGTCGGCTGCGAGCCCGGCAAGATTGGCAATGACCACTGCGACCCTGAGTGCGAGCACCCGCTCACAGGCTATGACGGGGGCGACTGCCGCCTGCACGGCCGCTGTTACTCCTGGAACCGCAGGGATGGGCTCTGCCACGTGGAGTGCAACAACATGCTGAACGACTTCGACGATGGGGACTGCTGTGACCCCGAGGTGGCTGACGTGCACAAGACCTGCTTCGACCCCGACTCGCCCAGGAGGTAAGGGACCGGGGCTTGGGGTGTCCTGCTCTGGGGTGCATTTCTAGCATCATTTTCTCCTTTTGGCTTCTGGAGACAAAAGGGGGTTCACATAGCCCCCAAATAAAACATTCACCCTCTAGACATGATTGTGCTTTCCTGAAGCACTAGGTGTTGTGTTAAGTAATGAGGGACATAGAGTTGACGAGGACAGGGGACAGCCCTCACAGGACTCGCTCTCTGTGGAGCAGACAGCTATGTGTGTGGTGTGAAGTGCACCTGAACCGCAGGGATGGGCTCTGAAGACAAATGCACCAGGCGCTTGAGACACCTGAGCAGCTTAGCCTGTGAGAGGAAGCGGGGGATGGTCACAGAGAGCAAACAGGTGCCCGTAGATAGAGACCACTCTGCCCAGTCATCCGCGAGCGCCCTGCCCGCAGTCTGAGGTCCCCACGGAGTAACAGATCCGTGTGGGGGCCTCTTATGTGCTTGGTCTGCGTTCAGCAGCTTCCTGAACACAAGACGTCCTACGTCTGACCACAAATCTCCTTTAGGTGACGAGCCTTTCCATGTTGCTCACTGAATTCCGTTCTCCACATAGCACCTAGAAAGATCCTTTGTAAAAGGCAAATCAGATCCTGTCATTCCTCTTCTTAAATTTTTTTCCCCACTGTACCTAGAGTAAAAGGCAGACTCTCTGCCTGGCTCACAGGCTCTGCTGCAGCCAGACCCCTGCCTGTCTCTCCAGCTTCCTCCCGCAGTACCGCGCCCGCGATGCGCAGCCTCCCAGGCTCCCTTCTGTTCTACGGAATAATCAAGCTTGATTTTTGCATTCGCTGTTTCATCATCTTGCAACCCTCTTTTCCTTCCTCTTCAGTTGATGGGTTTCCTCTTGTCATTCCAACATCTACTGAACCGTCACCTCCTGAAGAGGCCTTTCCGGACCCCCAATTTAAATCACCCAATCAACCACTATTCTGTCAACTAATTTCAGTTCTCTGTATAACACTTATCACCTCTGAGGTTTTCCTGTGCTTTCCTTTGTCCTTCCCCTGCCTGGAATGTCAGCTTCGTGAAGTCAGGGCTCTTGTTAATGATGACATCGCCAGTGCCTAGAAAGGCAGCTGGCGCTTCGTTGTTTACCTCACGTTTATTTTAACGAACGAACGAATCCGATGTGTCTTCCGACGTGAGAGGGAAGTCAACAAGAGAATTTCCGTCTGACGCTTCGTGAAGTCAGGGCTCTTGTTAATGATGACATTGCCAGTGCCTAGAAAGGCAGCTGGTGCTTTGTTGTTTACCTCAAATTTATTTTAATGAATGAACGAATCCGATGTGTCTTCCGACGTGAGACGGGAAGTCAACAAGAGAATTTCCGTCTGATGGTCCACTCGAGGTCTGGGGAATTTTGGAGGGAGGTAGGAGAGGAGAGATGTGGGAGGTGAACTTGTTAATTCGTATGTGTGGGCACGGCTTCTCTGTTACGGACCTGGTACCTTTGTACAAATTAGAATAAGGCTCGCACCTGAGCTAGGGTGTCGTGTTGGTGGGAGGTGGGAGGACTGGATCTCACCTCCCACTCGATACCTACTTGGCTGCCTTTGTGTTTGTTGGTCACAATTTATATAGTAATCCACTGTGTCCTGTATGTGGGCAGTCAGTTAACACCAGTTAATAGGTTGGCCTGTAGTTTAGGCATGTGATGTCAAGGGTTGAGTATAAGATTTGGAATCAGGAAATATAGCTGGATTCCTGACTCCTCACTACTTAAAATTAGCTATGTAAATTGTGTAAGTCACTCTCTGCAAGTCAGATGGCTTGTTGGTAAAATGGGGGTGATTGCAGTAGTACTTTGCATTACCTATATCCTAGGTTGTTCTTTTTTTTTATGAATCAAATGAAATAAGGTACAGGAAAGTGTTTGGTGACTCTAAAAGTTTTCAATATACAAAAATAGTTCTGAACTAAACGTTAGTTATTATTATGATTATTAGAGCTGACAGATCGGAAGCCTTTGTTTACATAATGATACACAGAGAACTGATCACATTACCAAAAGTATTCACATAAGAAAGATTCTGTTTGGGTTTGGTTTTTAGATTTTGATAACCTTAAGCAGAAGCTAAACCTCGGTTATAATAGCGGTTGCCAACTCTTAGGATTCCCAGAGAGGGAAATCTGGCTCGTTTTCATTTGTCTACTCGTTCGTTACAGCAGCCCTCTGCCCTGCCTGAGAGAGCTGTCTTTCAAGGTATCCACACATCATTTTCCTCAGTGTGGCCTTTCGTCTCTCTAAATCCTTACTGCCACTGCCCCTATGTGGGTGTTTATAACTTACGCCACAGAGTTGCCATGGTAACTCATCCCTTTAATCTATAGACCCGGAAGTATTTCAAACCTTCTTACCCCTACGTGCAAAACTTAGTGGAATAAAAGGAACTATTTATACTTTCTGATAGTTACAGATATTTAAGTCAAAGTCACCAATGTTCATGGTTACAAACATCAAATCGTACCGAAAGGCATGAGGGAGGATGACGGTCCCCTGCCTACCTCTTCCCCCTCCTCCTCCACTCTCTAGCCTCGCTCCCGTATTTATGTCACCTGTCTCCTCTGGTAATTACCTCTGTAGCTCACAATATTCTATTACTTGATTCATCAATTTTAAACATTATGCGTTGACTTGCTCATATGATAAAGATGGGATAACTTTTCCACGGTCTCCCCCCTCTACCTTTTCAATATCATCATTTTACTGTTTTTAGTCAAATGAGTTATATATATATTTATTTACAGTATCGTGACTATGAAGTATTTTTTGTTGCAGAACAAAGTATTATTCTGTTATTATATATATTTTTTCTGGCATAGTTTCTTTCCACCCTCCCCTACGCCTTGAGTTTCTATTTCCTCCCTCCCTCCCCTCTTCCCTTCCTTTCTTCCCTCCTTCTTTCTTTTTTGCTATCTAATGTCTTTTCTTTTTTTTTTTTTTTAAATACACTCTGGAGCTCTTCCTTCTAGTTTATTCTATTTTTCTGTCCACTTTCAATCTTGACCAGCCATCTTTAGGTCTGTTGCACAGCTGTCATCCTGGAACTTCTCTTTACTGCCTTTTTTTTTTTTTCGATCCCATTTTTACTGGAAAACACTCTTAAGTAACTTTCTAAGAAATGGTGTTTTAGGAAATTTTTTTCTGAAAATACATTTATCAAAAAGTTTTGATTTTGCCTTTACACAAGTACCGATAGTTTGTCTTGGTGTAAAATTTGGGGTTATGAAACATTCTCAAACTTTTGAAGAAATTTACTAATGGCCTCTAGCTTCTATTCTGATAATTCTGTGTCTTCTTAGAAGTAGAATTGTTTTCTTTTAAAAATTGTTTAGAATCTTAACCTCGTTTTTGGGATAGTATGATAATATTTTTAAAAATTAAATAAATATTTTTAAATTAACAGGGTCGGACTTTTATCCTTCTTCTGTTGAGAACACAGTGGTCCTTTAAATTTCGACCCTTCTGCCCCTCACCTCTGGCAAGTACTGTTAGATTATTATTTTGATTTTTAAAGTTCAGTTTTCTCTGTTCTCTTTTTCTACTGAGATGGATCTCCTGAATTTATTCTCTGTCTTTTTTTTCTTCTTCTTTTTTTCTCTCATTTGGTTTATCTCTTGGTTATTTTTTTTGAGGGGGGGTAGTATTTCCTTGAGTTTATCTTCCATCTCTTCTACTGTTTTTATTTTAGCAATCGTATTTTAAGACCTTATTCTTTGATTTTCTATACTCATCCATTTTTATTTTAAGAATGCAACCTTTTTTGATGCTAAAAATGAGATCCATTCAGAATTTTTTTCTGTGTACTCTGATTGATCCGTCATCAATTTTTCTTTTTTCCTTTTTTTTCTTCTATATTCCTCTCTGTCTTTCATCTTAGAGGATTTCCTCAACCATCTAGTGCTTGCTTACAGTAAGAGCCACACTTTTACGTTTATACTCACCCACTGAAAAACGATGGTTATCTGTGAATTCCTTCTTTTGGGGGAAGGAATCTGGAGCAGAGCCGAGTGGAGAGACGAGCCCTTCTCTTCTCAGATCCCTTATATTTATTTCATTATAGGATCTTTTCCCCTCTCCCATCTTCTCCCTGGTATTCCTTGTGTTGAATTTTTCTTATTAAAAATTTTCAGGGTTTCGCATCACTCTGACTGGCAAGAACAATATTTTGAAAACCAATTATTCCTATGATATGTCCAGATGCAGTAAGCTGAGCAGAGAGTCAAGTGGAAGGAATATGTAAAGAGTCAGTGCTCACAACTTAGTGGAGGGGCTTGGCAGTTTCTGATGAATTTCGGGCGTCTCCGTCCAGGGGGAGGCACTGCAAGCAGAGCGCGGAGCGCAGACTGCTCTTCCGCTCCGTGGCTCATCTGAAAGCGCTTTGGATTCGTGGACACACAGATCCCTGGCATTCTCGAGGGCCTGTGACTTGATGTAGTTATTGGTCGTCTCTGAACTTAATTACCCATATGCAGCATCCCTAACGCTGCAGTGAAATCACAGAACTTGAGCTCACGATTCCATTATATGTGACCCTGAAGGGAATCCAGCTTCAACAAATGCCTCGCCAGATGTTTACTGAACACACAGTGTGCCAGGCACAGAGCCCGCTTGGGAGCTCACTGTTCAGCGGGGATAGTTGGGAGGCAGGGGAGGGAGGCACCTGTAGATAGATTCCTGACGTGCAGGTGCAACGGTCGGTGTATGAGCAGTCCTTCTCATTTCTCAGATCCCACTCAACAGTTCCCCTACCCCGAGCCCAGTGAGAAACCAGAACTCTAGCTCAAAGACGTCCCTCTCCCAGAGACTCTGAGAGTAAGGCAGAGCCTGAGGAATCCAGCATCGAACATCTGTAGCCCAGATGGACTTATCAAAGAGCGATTATTTATCGGACTTGGGGCTAGGCAGGAGGAGATATGAATTATTGATACATTACCCAGCCAGTTGAACAGAATTACTAAAGTAGAGGAAC